TAATTTGTATCAGGCTGAGTATTGCATTTGATATCGTAACAAACAAGCCATAAGGAAATTAATTAGAGAATATTACTATTATACTAAGTATTTAATTTTTAATATTGTTTTTAATTGACAAATCATAATTGTATACATTTATGAGGTTTATTTATTTTTTATTTGTATTAGTTTTAATTGACAGCTATATAACTATTAATTAGAGACTTTAGTTCCCTCAGGGCATTTTGGCATGAGGGGAAAAACATCTGGATTCTTGGTGTGATACTGCCACTTACTAGCTTTGTGATCTTAGGTGAGTAATTTAACCTTTTTGAAGAAAGTCATTTTTTCCTCCTAATAGGCACTATGCATTGTCTGGACAATTAACAATGTACGGAAAATTGTCAGCATATTCTGGGGTAACTAATTCAAATATTGGAATGCTTTATATTATAGCTATGATGTATGGACCTCTCACCATACATTAAGTAATCATTGTACTGCCCAACTCACAGTTTTTGTGAGATTCAGAAGATAATATATTATTTGGAAGCACTTTGAAAATTGTAAAAACCCCACACTACCCAGATGTATGGAATTATTAACTGTATTTTCTTTCCCCTTTTTCTTCTACTCCCCATTCTCTTACTCTCTACCTTTATTAAAGGTGAAAAAAAAAATCCAACAGTCAGTGGCAACATGAATGCAACTTCTTTTACAGTGAACTATAGTCTAATTTTTAAATTTTTTAAATTTTTATTTTTTCTATATCCTAAGTCATCAAGCAATATATGGTGGATATAGTTTTAATCCTCAATAAAAATAGAAATCTCTAGAGAGCTTCTTCAGATTCAAGGGCACTTTGATTGTTCCCTATCTGTACTGCAATCCTACATTGTCGTATATTCTATTTATACATAAATAGCTGAGTATTTATTTTTGCTTTCGTTTTCCTCTTCCCACATTGAGAACATCATAGAAGGTATTCAGTAAATAATTGTTGCAAGAGTGGATCTCCCCAATTTGCATATAGTAAGCTACAAGGTCTTCTATTGCTGTATGCAGTCCCCACAGTCCTTAGCATAATAACGGGTACGCGGTAAGCTCTTAATACCAGTGTGTACACTTGCTAGTTTGACCTGGACCTCCCAGTAGTGTAGCAGCTTTTGGATTTATAGCCATATTACCCCTCCCTCTCTTTATTTTCAAAAGGGACACTTAATTACTGTTCTAAGCCACAGAGTTCGAGAAACTCTGCCTAGGGTGTTTATTGCTGATGTTGCTGGACCGGGTTCCAGCTGCCCCAAGGTTACCCTTGTTTACTTTCCGTAGTGGTCAGGCAGGATCTACTGGGGAATAGCAGTTAGTGAATCGTGGTATTAGAATCACAAGGAACCTCCTAGGATTTTTTAAATGTAGGCCAACCTTTTTATTTTGTAGCTCAAGACTGAAGGAAGTTTACTAAAGGGATTGGTAGGTGGGCACTGACTTCGTCCTGTCAATTATTGTAGGAGAAATTTTGAGTCACAGACAGGGGCCTGGGTTTCTGTCCCCCATGCAGTTACTACGGAACTGTAGATTAGGTAAACAAACCCCTCTGAGAGGATTTAGGGAAATTAGCACTTGTCTGTAGTCAAGGCTAACTGCTTTGGCAAATTAATTTGTGTAAATCCCAAAGATTGTTTTAATATCATTTCAAGAAGTTCTTCATAAATAAGGATGAGAAAGTTGCTTTATATCTTTCTACTTAATAATAAGCCCTCTATGCTGAGACATTTAATTAAAATATTTGAGTAGTTAATAAAATAATTGCTATAATTCATAGAGCATGCTGTAGACCTTCAACTGTCAGGTTTTTTGTTTGTTTTTTTTTGAGACAGGGTCTCCCTCTGTCACCTGGGGTAGAGTGCCGTGGCATCAGCCTAGCTCACAGCAACCTCAAAACTCCTGGGCTCAAGCAATCCTTCTGCCTCAGCCTCCTGAGTAGCTGGGACCACAGGCATGTGCCACCATGCCCAGCTTATTTTTTCTATATATTTTTAGTTGTCCAGCTAATTTCTTTCTATTTTTAGTAGAGACAGGGTCTCACCCTTGCTCAGGCTAGTTTTGAACTCCTGACCTTGAGCAGTCCTCCCGCCTCAGCCTTGCATAGTGCTAGGATTACAGGTACAAGCCACAACGCCCAGCCTGTCAGGTATTTTTTTAATCCCCATTTTATAGATGAGAAGAGTGAGGTTTAGATAGATAATGTGACAAAGGTGACATGCCCAAATAAATGGTGGGAAAGAAATTTGAACCACATCTGCTGACTCCAAAGTTACTGTTCTTTCTTCTGTGAATAACCTGTGCCAGATGTCATGCTTCAGGAAGAAGAGGAAGCAGTAAACATGGTCATTGTCTTCAGCTCATAGTAAATAGATAGGATGATGAGCCACACACACAAGTAGCAAGAATGGGAAGAAAATGGGATCAGTACCATATAAGCATTAGGAGGGTATAAGCAACAGCTTTATGGAGCAAGTATCATTTGATGTGGATCTTGAAGAACTTAGATAGGCAGAGGTAGCTGCTGTTCAGGCAGGCTAGGGTCAGATGTTGGCAGAGTCATGAATTGCAGGCTTAGCTCATTAGACTATGGTAGGCCCCTGGCAGCTAGTAGTCATTTTTTTGTTTTAATGGAGAGTGATGAAATTACGATGTGGAGAGAAGATGGCATTAGAATACCTATTAGGAGACTATTATAGTAGGCAGATGAGAGATATGGAAGACCTGAAATAGGGTTGCTACTGGGTACAGGAAGGGTCTGTGTGTCCTTGTTGGAGAGAGATTTGGGTTGTATTAGGCAGAACCTCCATGAAATCTTTACTGAGTAAATCTAAGAGTAGGTTTAGGGGAAGAAGAGAAAAGAGGAAGCAGTTAAGATTTTAGCCAGAGCGTGGGAATAACCATATGCCTTAACTTTCACATGTCAAGTGCCACTTCAAATATTAGGCTGTAATTTTCAGTTCCTTTGGATTATCTGTGTTATAATGTTGATTCAAAAAGTTAGGGCAACTGGGAGAATGGTTGATATATTTTTAGTATTTTTAGGGGTTATTTGCATTTCAGAAGAGGAGTTCGAATCAAGCAATTCTCCAGTAAGTAATATGAACTGTAGAGCCTATTTCTTTCTTTCCTCTTTATCATCTTACTCTTTGTGGAGTAAAATACTACATAGAATCATTTTTTAGTTGCTCATGCATTCCTCTGCCTCATCACTTGTTCCTGCCAATCCCTTATTTTTCTGTACACAAAGGATATAAAATATTTGTTTTATTTTCTCTCATCATAGTTTGTAGATAAGATATCCTATTGCTCTTTAAAAAAGTTGTGTATCATATACTAGATAAGTACATTAAAAGGAAATGAAAAGAGCATCTTCATAAATGTTGCTATTAACGAGGCTCCAGACCTGAGTGTTTATGTAATTTCTTCCATTTGCCATTCAGTCATATGGGTTTTTAAATGAAAATGAGGCTGCAGTCAGAGTCCTTTTCAAGAGGAATACTACTAATAGAGGAAATTTGTTTCCTGCCAGCAATGCAGTAGGGTAACTGTTAGCAATTTGCTAAATAATCAGCTAACCCTGACATGTTGTTTTTGTAGCTTTTGTATGAGTATTTTAACCACTTCGGTACACCAGCCATGAAACCTTGCCCACAGCCGGCACTCATAGTCCACATAGTTTGTGCTGTGCATTGACGACGAATCCATTTTGCTCTTGTGTGATGAGGAAAGCTTGAAAGCACTGGAAGCTTGTTTTACTTTACAGGCAGCTTTACTTGTAATGTAAATCAGAAGAGGTAACATATACATATATGTTTTCATTACGTTATTTTTAAATGTTCACAATTTTGATAAATGAAAAATTAAAAAAGTCATACCATGGCTGTTGGCTAAAGTCGACGCTTGGCTGTGTGCCTTCATCTGTGGCTATCGACTATAGTCGACACTGGTACCGAAGTGGTTAATGGAAAAAATATAATGTCCTGCCATGTTGTGTTTCTTTGATGTAAGACTCACTTCATACATAAATATCGGCAGTCTCTGTTGAATTCCCCCCATCCTTGGAAATTTGAAGACTTTTCTGGTGGCTGATAGAGAATTCTCTATATGTTGTTCTGGAGCTTTAGCAATCCTTGCTCATTCTATGTCTGTCCACAGCGTACTGCATGATGCTTGGTATTGCAGACATGCAACTCACAAGTCTCCAAACTACCTTATGTAAAAGAAAAAAAATCTTTCAACTAACATTATTCCACAGATTCTGTGTTAGATACAAAAAGCAAGATGCTTGGCACATGCCAGATTTATGGGTTTTTTGCAGTGTCTCCATTTTTACTGGTGAGGAAATCTAGGCTCAGGAAGTTAAAGTTACATATATGTGGTCACACAGCTAGCACAAGATGCAAAATTCAACCCAGGTATACATTACTCCAAATTTGATCATCTTCCTGTACAGTAGTAATCTGCTACTATTAGTGCAATTGAAATTTGAGGAGCAACTTGTTATGGATTGGAATAATCGGGATAATCATTATGGAATGGAATAATAAAAAATAAGAAACAAGGGATAGATAAGAGAGGATCAGACCCTGGAGGCAGGTAGTGATAATACACTACTCTTACTACTGATGCTAAACATTTGAATACTTATCATATATTAGGCATTGTTTAATATAGTAGCTCATTCAATTCTCATGACAACCCTTTGAGGCAGGGACAGTTATTTCATTTTACTTTATTTTATTTTCAACCTACTCCCCACACTTACTTCATTTTATAGATGGGGAAACCTGGAGGGAATATGGAGATTACAGCTCTTGCCCAAGGTCACGGATGAGAAATCAGGCAGTTTGCAGTTTGATTCTAGAGCCTATGATAGGGAGCATTGAACAGGAAGGGGAAAATCAAGGGGGCATGCTTTATTCAGGGCTGAATACAGTAGATGTGAAAAAAAGAGAAAAAGGAAATTGTATGTAGGGGTGGGGTGGGTGTGGGAGAGGGATGTAGGTTTGGGGAGTACTGTGCACCAATTGCTGTCTGAAGGCTTGAAAGGGGTATGATCAAAGGAGAGGTAAATGCAGACAAAGACCAAGAGGTGACAGAGCCTTCAGGGATTCTCACAGTTTTTCCTATGGGAGAAGGGGGAGAGGTACTAGGCAGAGATGGAGAAGAGGAGAATGAAGAATGGAAAATCCAAGGAAGAAGGGATTGAGGATGAGGTCCCCAATATCAATATGCCCGAGACTTCATGGATGTGGGTAACTTTAAATTAAATCTACCTTCTGTGTGCTTTTGTGTTTTGTGGTATTTCTCCCTTCTTATTGATGAACTCTTGTCTCCTGTTATGTTTTTAGCACTTTTAATTTTTTTATAACCAAAGGAAGAAATGATTATTGTTATAACATGTATTCTATACAAATGCTTTTCTATTATTTTAGCTTCAGAAAAGAAATAGCAGGCTGGGCGAGGTGGCTCATGCCTGTAATCCTAGCTCTCTGGGAGGCCGAGCGGGCGGATGCTCAGGGCAGGAGTTCGAAACCAGCCTGAGCAAGAGCGAGACCTGTCTCTACTATAAATAGAAAGAAATTATTGCCAACTATATATATAGTGAAAAAGATTATCCGGGCATGTGGCCATGCCTGCTGATCCCAGCTACTTGGGAGCTGAAGCAGAAGGATTGCCTCCAGGAGTTTGAGGTTGCTGTGAGCTAGGCTGACGCCACGCACTCTACCTAGCCTAGCAACAAAGGAGACTACTGTCTCAAAAAAAAAAAAAAAAGAAAGAAAGAAATAGCTAATCTTCTGAGTTGGACAGTATGAAGACATGCTACTTTTGGTGCTAAATTCTAATCCTGTTTATTGCTTGATAAAGAGACCTTATTGGTATCAGGTTAGAGTGTTCTAACTTGTAAGACACTGTAGAATTAGAAGAGATTTGACAAGTGACATTTTAAAATAAGCCATTTCGTCCCATTTTCCCCAGTTTAGGAACTTGTAGTAAACTTGTTACCCACCTACTGAGTTCTTGTGACTGATTCTCAGGACACTCTAAGCTTGGCCCTTCTACCTGTCCAGCTTTGCTTTCTCTAACATAGATGCTCACTTCTGTGACACCTGGTGAGATGTCCTCACTGTGCCTTCTGATATTCTGCTCTTTCCTGTCTTTTACTTTACCTGTTCAAACTGAATCTTTCAAAACCCAGGCAGGATAAGTCTCACTTGCACTATTAATTCTCCTCTGACTGCTTCATTGATTTCCTCTTGCCCTTGATATCTTTTGTGCATATTGTCAATACTATGTATTTTAATACTTAACTATTTTGATGTATATTAAAATGGCAAAGAAAGAAAAAGCCCAAAACAACAACCCCCCAAAAATCTAACTTCATAAAAGGACATAGTATTAATAGTTTTAGTTTTACTACAATATCCCTGGGTATGGATGGGATTTGGGAAACAAATTGGGGATTTGTGAACTTTGTTGTTTATTAAGGAATGATTTTCTTTCTAGGTAAAGGGATACACATGTAGCATTACTTTTAAAAGGAATTTCTAGCAGTTACTACTAAGGTTATGCAATCTACCTCATTATTCTCAGTCTCCATTAATTTAGGAATCTTAAATGGTAGTACTGATTTTTTTTTTTTTTTTTTTTACTTTTTTTTTGAGACAGAGTTCTCACTCTGTTGCCCAAGCTAGAGTGAACATCAACCTAGCTCACAGCAACCTCAAACTCCTGGGCTCAAGCAATACTACTGCCTCATTCTCCCGAGTAGCTGGGACTACAGACATGTGCCACCATGCCCGACTAATTTATATATATATATTTAGTTGTCCAGCTAATTTCTTTCTATTTGTTTTAGTAGAGACAGAGTCTCGCTCTTGCTCAGGTTGGTCTAGAACTCCCGAGCTCAAACGATACTCCCACCTCGGCCTCCCGGAGTGCTAGGATTACAGGTGTGAGCTACCACGCCCGGCCTTGGTATTGATTTTTGACATACATTGAAGATTGCTACTGTTTTTTAGAGTTTTTTTAGAGTTCATTAGCGTAATTAAGGAGTTTTCATAAGGCATGAGTTGTTTTCTGACACTGCCACAGGCTGTTCCAATAGTAATCCTTATTATTTCAGACTTAATTAGGCATTTTCTTCAGCACAGAGATCCTACTCTTGTTAGATATAATAGGCTGATGAGTGGATTTATTTCTGTATGTTAGAATTTCAGCTAATGCTCAAAGTGGAGGGCAAAGGACATTAAATACTCCACATTGTAAGGACGTTTGCCAGCAGCTTTAGGGGAAGAGGTATCTTACCACTTCCAGAACCTGTCCTATCACCATCAACCTCCACTTCACTCTAGGTGGCTGGCTAAGTGGTCCTCCAGCTGGGGAATGCAATGCCTGGTTCCTCTTCTTGGTGACACCCACAGTCTCTTTCATTTTCTCAGTTCAGGGAGGAAAGCAGCTCACCCTCAGTACTGCATCCCTACTCAAGGCCAGCCCCAACAAGTACTCCACCCTGTCCCCAGTCCTTTCCATATATGGATTGGAGGTTGGGGAGAGGAGAGGTCTGTGAAGGTTAGGCTAACTCTGGTATTTCTTAGCAAGTCATGAGGGGAGATGGCCACACCTCTCTCTAATGTGTCAACCTTGTCTACACTTTAGAATCATCTAAGGAGCTGAGGCCCAAGTTGCACCCTAAACCAGTTGAGTGAAAATCTCTTTATGTGGGACTCTGGCATCAGCAGCTTTGAAAGCTCCTCCAGATGGTTCCAATAAGTACCCAAGATTGAGAACCCCTGCTGCTAAATATTCGGAGTTGGGGGCAGAGTGGAAGGAAGGGTATTTGTGGTCTTTTATGCCCCAGGTTTAGTCTTAGCCAAAATTCTTTTAAAACAGAAAATATCCCACCCAGTATCTTATTAAATAAACAATTAAAAATGAAATTAAGGTTGTAGTTTAATCTGTTTTGTTCTGTAGCATAATGCTATGTTTACCTTTAAGTGAAGGAAGAACCAACATTATATACTTGGACCTTTCCTGAATAGTAAAATGTATAATAAGGTGAAAAGAAGATTAGCATGTCTTATTTGCCATCTTAAAAGCTGCATTTTACTCTCATACAGTAAATGAGTTATATCCTAGCAATATCACTGCAATGAGCTAATAATAGGCAAATCCCGAGAAGTCACATATAACAAACAGTCTCATACTAGCAAAGTCACTCTTCTGTGAGCCTGTTCTGACAATTTTTCTTAAGAATTCAGCCATTTACATCAGGAATGAGTGTGCTTCTTGAAGACACAATTTCACTTACTTTCTCATTTCATCGGTTTTCCCACAGCTCAAGAAATGGCTGCCCAGTGTGTCACGAAGGTGGAGCTGAATGTTTCCTGTAGCAATCTTATGGATACAGATGTCGGGTCAAAGTCGGACCCTTTATGTGTATTATTTCTGAGTACAAGTGGTCAACAGTGGTATGAGGTAATATTAAATACTTCAAGTGACAAGTAATCTGAATTGCTCTTTTAACAATGTGAAGAGTTTTTTTTAAAAATGTTAAAAATAATAACACCATCTCCCGTGTTAATGCAGTTTTTTGAGAAAGTTTGTCCTTGATTGTAGAATTCTTCATACACATATAGAAACTTCCTTTAGTTGTCATACCTATATTTATTTATGTTTAGTACATAAAGATGTTAGAATCCAAGTGCACCTTTGATCTGAAGAAACTTTTTTGTTTTGGGGGGTGGGTGTAGGTTGAACGCACAGAAAGGATTAAGAATTGCTTGAATCCCAAATTTTCCAAGACATTTATTATTGATTACTACTTTGAAGTTGTTCAGAAATTGAAATTTGGGGTTTATGACATCGACAACAAAACTGTTGAGCTGAGCGATGATGACTTCTTAGGAGAATGTGAATGTACCCTTGGACAAGTGAGTATACATAGCCACTATCTCTATTTTGTCTAAAATTTTAACCAATGAATTGGGTGTTTTCAATGAGTGTTCATTTAATTTTTAAAATTGAAAAATGTAATCGTTTTAAAGACTGAGCTCATATATGTGTATTAATGTGGTTGGCTTGAACATTATGCAGTTTATCTTATTTTATGAAAGGCAGGGAACATGCATTTCTGGCAAAGCCTGTTAATTCTTTTGAGTAAGGATGCTTCATTGAGCATTTCAATAAATAATACCTCTGCTCTAGCTGCTGCAGAGTTCAGTACAATTTTGTTATGCTCACGTCATCAATGCTAGCAAAGTAATAGCAACTTCTCTGATTTTCTAACTAGCATAACTTGTCCCTCTTGACTACTGATGCCTCAACACCACCCCTTTACCTGGCTTGTTCTTGATACAGCCTAAGGTGTATCAGTTTCTCACTCTCCCCATAAACCTTCTCTGATCCCTTACATTAGCTTGGAGCCCTTCACTGAGCTCACTTGGCATTCTCTACTGCTTCTTACCTTATGTTTTTTTATAGTTGCTTAATTACCTGTCTTCCCAGTATATGACAAGCTTGGTCAGGGCAGGGGAATGTCCTGTGGCTCACTATTTTGCTCCTTGCTCAGTCTGATTTATAACGAGAGATCATGACTATCTGTATAGATTGGGGAAGGCTTTAGGAAAGAGGAGTCATTTTCCTCAGTGGGTGATGTTTATCACTTAAATTTGTCTTTGACGAATTTTTCAGGGTTGAATTGTTTGGAGGTCATGTATTTACTAAGTCTCAAGAGCAATATGGAACTAATCAGTTTTCTAAAACTTTGATAAATAGTATCAAAGGAAAAATTAAAGAACTTTTTTGGAAAAAAATTACAGTGTAGCAAAAATTCTGTTGAACTTGTGAAATATGAAATATATCAGAACTATATCTGTTTGAAAGGACCTAGGTATTGATTATATTAAATTATATTAATTTGAAGCAATATAATACTTTATGAGAGTTAAATATTAAAGTTGTGTGTCCGTAGAAAAATTGAATCCCATTTGTTGAGTGTTCTGAGGCTTACCTTTTACCTCGAGGGGTTTTAGCTCAGTGATTTTAATATGTGATGAGAATCTGGCCCTCTTTTTCCATTACAAGGAAGAAGTTAAACTTTAAAGTACTTGGTAAAGAAAATAGTAGGTTGGGAGATTGTATCTGCCTGGGTAGCCTCCTAGGAAGTTTTTTTCCAATGAGTTTTTAATGTGTAGATGTTTTAAATGTCTAAAGAATCTCTAAATTAAGGAACAGACTTAATGTTTCCATTTCTAGTGATTTTAAGAGAACTTCTCTGGGTATGGTGGCTCACACCTGTAATCCCAGCACTCAGGGAGGCTAAGCCTGGAGGATTGCTTGAGGACAGGAGTTCAAGACTAGCCTGAACAAGACAGTGAGACCCCATCCTAAAATAAAATTAGCTGGGTGTAGTGGTGTGCGCCTGTAGCCCCAGCTACTAGGGAGGCTAAGGCAGGAAGATGAAGCCTTCCCAATCTATACAGATAGTCATAATCTCTCCTATAAATTCAGACTGAGCAAGGAGCAAAATAGTGAGCCACAGGACATTCCCTGCCCTGACCAAGCTTGTCATATACTGGGAAGACAGGTAATTAAGCAACTATAAAAAAAAAAAAGAAGCAGTAGAGAATACCAAGTGAGCTCAGTGAAGGGCTCCAAGCTAATGTAAGGATCAGAGAAGGTTTATGGGGAGAGTGAGAAACTGATACACCTTAGGCTGTATCAAGAAACAGCCAGGTAAAGGGGTGGTGTTGAGGCATCAGTAGTCAAGAGGACAAGTTATGCAGTTAGAAAATCAGAGAAGTTGCTATTATTTCTGTGCTAGCATTGATGACGTGAGCATAACAAAATGTACTGAACTCTGCAGCAGCTAGAGCAGAGGTATTATTTATTGAAATGCTCAATGAGCATCCTTACTCAAAAGAATTAACAGGCTTTGCCAGAAATGCATGTTCCCTGCCTTTCATAAAATAAGATAAACTGCATAATGTTCAAGCCAAC